CACCTCTCCGGTGCCTGTGCACAAGCACTAGTGCACGCCTTCCTCATGGAAAGCCAGCTCAGGCCCGCGGTGATCAGGTCTAAGAAGGGAAGGAACCCCAGCACAGCATGGTCCCTGAAGAGCCCCTGCAGCTCAGCCTACCCTGCCCTACATGTTGTCAGAGAGGCCAGAATAATGTGCACAAGCACTGGATAGTGTCGGCGCTTCCCTGAAGAGGTCAGGACCGAGCGGATCCCGGAGGCTCTCAGGAGGCTGGTCAGCAGGGCCACTGAACCCACTCCATTATAAACTGTGGGTAACGTGAGGGGAGTGAAAACACCCACAGACTTGGCTGTGTGCACACATGCACACGCATGTGATTAAGTGACAATAGAGCTGGAAGCACTTCCGTACCTGCACGCTTTCAGGAGAGGCTCAGTCGGAGGGAGGATCTGGGTGAGGGTGGTGTAGCAGGGAATGGCTACGGCATTGTAGAATCCGAGCTACCTCAGTGTTAGAAACAAGAAAGAAACAAGAGAAAAAATAGTCCATTAGTGATTTTAGTTGTATCTAAAATTTCTGCTTCTGAAGACTGACTAGAAAATTAAGTCTTCTAGTTCTGTGTTTTATATATGTGTGTGTGTATTTATATATATATATATATATATATATATATATATATATTTGACCTCAATGAAAACTATTGTTGAATATGGCTTAAAATGAATCTTAGAAACAAGACATATAACACGATGGAATTCTATGCTTCCATCAGCAAGAATGGCATTGCACCATTTGTAAGGAAATGGAAAGACTTGGAAAAATTTGTATTAAGCGATGTAAGCCAGATCCAAAGAAACATAGGCTGCATGGTTTCCCTCATTTGTAGTGATTAGACGTGACTATAAATCTACAAGTAAACCCAATGGATAGTAAAAGAAAATTACTCTAAACACTCCAAACAATGACACAGTGAAACCGAAGAGGTATATTCTTAGGAGAGGATCACAAAGGCTCATAGCTATGCACATACAATCATATAAAATAAAGCCTATGAAATGAACTCCAACATGAGGTTTTATTGTACTGTTGGTAGTTCTTTTTTCCCTGTCTTGTTTTTAACCTTTTGTTGCTGTTTTTGATTTCTGTGCCCTTTTCTTGTACGTTAAGTTTACCTGATTTGGGGAGGGGAAAGGCAAGCACAGAAATGGTGGGACAAAGGGTGAACCAATGCAGCAGTGACACTCACTAAACACCAGGTTGAAAACGAACTCTACAACAGAGAAACCGAGGGAGGGGTGGTGCTGTTAAAAAATGTCTCACCACCTGACCAATAACTGCAGCCCCTCTGTATATCGCCTTTATAAAAAAAAGTTGAAAGAAAATACATAAAATATGTATTCCAGACTAGCCTTAAACTCGTGATTTCTGAGGCTCAGTCTCAAAGTGCTGGAATCACAAATGCACACCACCACATTCGGCTCCTTTTTAACTTTACAGCTTGTACAAAGCTATTCTATTTTTTAGCAGATGTCACGAGGTAGAAAAATCTCACAAATGAGCCTGCTTATTATAAAAAATGTTTCACTGCAACAAATAGTAAGTTCATAATATCCATCAAGTTCGAAGTAGAATTTAGGAACTCAAAGTAGCAAAACTCTTGTAAAATGAGCCATTTTCTCATTACAATACTAGAAGAGGTGCGGTTGTGGTGTGACAGCATCCGTGAGACACCGGGTCTCCTACACGTGTGGGGTGAATGTTTTAACTATTTGGAAGAAGGAATTGTTAGAGACCTCTATTAAAGCATGTAACAGGATGAACTGGCATGAATTAACAGTAAAATGTCAAGAACTGAAACAAGAGAGGTGCAGTGGATGCCTGCCGCACGAGAAGCAGCTCCACGCACGACAGGGAGGGCAGGCTGTCCTCACTGACCACAGCGCCTTGAGCACCCACCCCTGCGCAGACATCGCGAGATGTGTGCTGCGCACTCGTGGGACCGGGTGTGGGGGGAGGGGAGCATCCACACCTGGCCTTGCGGGACTTCATCCCTCTTGTCTCTGTCCATCATGGGGATGGGCTGGATCCCCAGCTTCTTCATCTCATCACCCTAGAATAAAGCAGAGGGACAGAATGGTTCTTTCTCATGTTGTGAATAGTCATGAGAGCTGTGGTAGCAATAAAGGTTCCTTTTACTCAGTGAGTTTCCTTGAAAACAATCCTGTTTCAGGTTACACAGTGTCCCAGGAGACACAAGCAATGGACACGCAGCCGCCTCGCTCTGTGTTGTGCCTGGAGTTCTGCCTTGAACATGCGGGCACCGCCACCGTCCAGACTGCCCTGAAGCAAGAGTAAAAGTTGCATCCCGAAGAGGCGCAGGAGTGAACACACACGGAGGACCTCACCCTTCTTTTCTAAGTGATTCTTCCTGAGTGTGGAACGGGCCCAAGTGGGCGGAGAGGACAGGTGGCCCACCAAGGCCCGGCAGCCAGGGCGGCCACCAGGACACAACCTCCGGTCCACGCTGCAGGAGCAGCTCGGGACCCGCGAGCTGGCACAATCTTCTGAGATGGACATATCTCCCCAGGTTATGCATTTAAAAATCAGCTCTTCTTATCTGTCACAGCTAGTTAAACTCTCCTTCCTGAACATTCTCAACTCTCCACTCTTCGTTCACATGCATTATGTTACCAATTTTAATGATGCTTGTTTCCAGGAATCTTAAGTATAGACAGAAAACTTCCGGGATTTGTTAGGAACAGGACACAAAGGTGCTTGTTTATCCTAACTGTGTCAGGCAGTTAAAACACATAGCTTCTGCTTCATTGTCATTTTGGTAATGAATTTTTGGTTCCCAAAGATTTTCTTTTCTACCTCCAGTGGATGAAACCTATTGAGTCACATGCTGTGCCTGGTGACAAGTCCCGTCCCCAGCTGACCAGGAGAATCCCCATGCGTGTCCCCAGGTGACAAGTCCCGTCCCCAGCTGACCAGGAGAATCCCCATGCGTGTCCCCAGGTGACAAGGAGAATCCCCATGCGTGTCCACACAGGTGACAAGTCCTGTCCCCAGCTGACAAAGAGGAGGATGCAGTAGAACCACAGTTCACAGGTGACCTACGTAAGCGCCCTTCATCCCATTTGGCTGACCACACAGTTCTCAGAAACAAAAAACAGCAACAGGAGTGACTAAGATTTTAGGCAAATTATCCACATTTCACTTCTCCTCGAATGTTTTCCCACGTCTTGGCATTATCTAGGAGAATGTAAGACTCAACGACGTACCTCGGCCCAGAACTCTGCGTAGATATCATTTGCCGTCAGTTTTGTAACCGGCCACAGTTTGGTCACAGAGCAAAGATCACAGGCAGTCATCATCAAACCAATTACACGGTCTCTAGAACATAATAAAAGACCCGTCAGAGCAGCATTTGCACACTAGAATAAGGATTAGGAGCTCTGTACTTTGTGAAGTGAGGTTTTCCTATTATTTCCTGACAGGAAAGAGTAGCATTCAAACAGAAATAGGAGCAGCAAGATGGTAAAACGCAGTTAGAGTAGCGTGGCTTGAACCGGGAGAGGCGGCGGGTGGGTGACCCAGCAGGTGAACGTGCCCTCCCGAGAGCCGCCACAGGATGTGCATCCTGGAGAGCACCACACCTGCTCTGTGGAGTCCTCAAGAGAACATGGTGGGAACACATTACAGCTACCTGAGTGGAGATGGGTGGGGAGGGAGGGGACAGTCGGAACTGGAGGCAGAGCCAAGAAGCAATATGGTAAAATCCATGGGAGCCCCGAGGGCGCAGGCCACCGGCACCCCCCCTGCGCCCTCCCCCGTCCCCTCCCCACCCCCTCTCTGCTGCATGGCACGCTGCTGTACGCCGCGGGCTGTCTCACAGGTGCGGACACTTGGATCTGAGAGGTGAGGCCCTCTCTGCTCCTTCTTCCTCCACAGAGCCATACACAGGGTCAGGTCAGGAAGCCAGGGCCCCTGCAGGTCAGTCAGTTCACTATGGGGAGCAAGAAGGAAGCGCCTGTCCCCTCCACACACCTCGCGGGAGTCAGTGCTGGGAGGGGAGTAGAAGAGGTAAGCGTGAGTGGGCCGGCCCGGGCCTGGCTGCAGAGAGGTCAGGCCCAGAGGAAGCCAGGCAGAGCGCGTGGGCTGAGGCTCAGGGTGGCGGTCATTTGCGTGAATCTGGCGCCACCGTCAGGGGGTCAGAGCAGCTGTCTGGCGTCAAGGTCACCCCTCCTGGACGGCAGAAACCCTGGCGGTGTGTCCTGGCCTTCTACATGTGAACTGACAAGTTCCACCAAGAAAAACGATGACAAAACAGCCCAACTGTAGGCACGGTGATCCCTGACAGAAAAACAAGGCCCAAACAGAACATAACCCCTCACACAAGCTCAAAGCACCACAGTGAGAGGCTTGGGGGGATCAGAGAAAATCTGTCTGGACACTAAGATGAAAGTTAAGTTCAGAGAAAGATAACACAGCTTATTATCGACAGTACAGTACACAAAAATAAAAAAACCTACTGTGCCTATAAAGAAATGATAAAATGGTCTATGGAGAAGTCAGTCAAGAAAATAAAATACTAGAGAAGCCATGTTATGGAATTAAAGAGAAAAATGTCTAAACAGCTGAATATTGAAGAAAGACTAGAAGCTACGGAGATGAGCCTGAGAGAGAGTGATACTCTATCATTTGTAAAGAAATGGAAAGGCCTGAAAAGCGTTAAGGTGCGGGAAGTAAGCCAGAGGGACAAAGGACACATGTTTTTCCTTTTATGTAGAAACTACAGTTAGCTTATAAGCTTGTAAGTAAATACGCTGGGTGGTATGCAGTGGAGATACAGGAGACTCGAGGGAGATCTCAGATAGTATAATTCCTTAGAAAGCCAAAATCAAAGTTCGGCAAAATAAAACACCAGGAAGCAGGGAGAGTACTTGAGAGGGATGCGATGGGGTCAAAGGTGGACAAATGAAGAGAAGGGGGAGGGGAAGCAGTCCAGACTCCAATGTCTACTCTACAAAATTCAGAAGAGTGAGGGAAGGGTGCGGAGGGGAAGCCTCGGTGAGAATACTGGAAGGAATGACACTGATCAAAATACAGTCATAAACTGCCTTGTTAAAGGGCAACTCCTTTGTACAACTACTTGAGGATAATTTAAAAATATAAAATCTAGGGCTGGGAAGGTAGCTCAGTGGTAGAGCGCTTGCCTTGCAGGCCTGAGGCCCTGGGTTCGATTCCCAGCACATAAGCAAAAGGAAAAAAGCTGGAAGTGGCGCTGTGGCTCAAGTGGTAGAGTGCTAGCCTTGAGCTGAAGAGCTGAGGGACAGCGCCCAGGCCCAGAGTTCAGGCCCCA